GTGAGGGCGACGGAGGGGGAGAGGCAGTGTGAGAGCCATGAAGAGCCCCTCAGCCCCACTTGGCCCTTGGCTGTGACATCAGTCCGCCTCTCAGCCCCCTGGGAGGTCATAGCCTCACCTGAGCAGAGTAGAGGTGACATTGTAGCTGTGGTCCTCCTTCAGGTCGTAGGTGGTGCTGTACATCTTAAACTGGCCCCGTTCTTCTCTCTGAACTGCATTTCCCGCCAGGCCTACCACATACCATTTCCCCTGGAACTGCAAGGAGTTGATGATGGGCAGATCAGGGATGGCCTGGGAGCCACCCCTCGCTCTCTGTCCCTTCCGGCACCTCTGGGCGGCCCATCTAGGAACCAAGAGTCCCCCTGACTGGGCAGCAAGGCCCTGGGCTGGGTCTGCCCTGAGAAGCCCATAGGAGCTCGGGGCCTCCAGGACCCAGAGGGATCCCTGAGAGAGGAATTAGCCCTGAGTTGGCAGGGACAGGGTGACCCTGGACAAGAGAGTCTCGGTTTCCCCATCTGTGCAGAGGGACACATGTCCCCACCTTGCATGGACAGTGGGAATTATGGGAGACTAGATGTGAACCTGGAAAGATCTGTCCAGACAACCCTGGGTGGGGAGGAGATGGGTGGACCGGCATGGCTCCTCCGGGAGCCCAGGTGCAGGGCATGCTGCAGCCCCTCCTGCCCACCCCACCCAGCACTGCCCTGGACGCTTCAGCTCTCCTCCCTCTGTGCCTGCTGCCTTGGGCCCTCCCTGCGGCTGCTCCTCCAGGCTCCTTACCTGGGCATCCTGAAAGCCCTGCTGCAGGGGGACCCTGCTGAGACGTGGGGCTGGGATCAGGTTTGGAGCAGAATCCTGGGCCTGGGTCTGCAGGGCTCCCAGCAGGGTGAGGCCCAGATACAGGAGAACTAGGGGCATGATTTCAGGGCAGCCGAACCTGGCAGGTGTTGAAGGAAGAAGCAGAGAGAACAAGGAACCCAGCCTGGGGGAACTATTTATGGGCCACTGGCTGCTGCTCCCCACAGGGTGGGGTAACCTTGCCTTTGCCAAATCCAGGAAGAGTGAGGTAATTGTCAGAAACTCCTGTGGAAATGCTTGGCAAGGTTCCTGCCCCTTCCTCCCTCTGGTCAGGATTATGCAAATGGGGGGAAGGAAGGCCAGCAGGGAAGGGGGACAGGAGGGACATTCCCAGGAGGCCACAGTCTGGCAGGGACAAGGGTTCCCTCTGGGCATTCTTTGTGCACTCTTCCTTTATGTGATTGGCCCTGTCTGAGGTCAGAGCTCAGATCTGGACAAGCTGTCATCTCTGACCCCCAGGAGCCTCAGCCCACCTAGTGTCTAGGGAGGGCTGTGGGTGGCGCTGCCCTCTCTCTGCACCCACTGGCAGGGAGAAGGTCCCTTTCCATAGCCCCGTAATGCTTTCTGCTCCATGTGAGGGTCAGGGGAGTGCAGGGCAGTGGGACACAGGCACTTTAGACAGAGAAGGATGAGGCTCCTGCTGAGCCCACTGAGCCCAGACCCTGGCCCCTCGCAGGAGCCCTGGTCAGACCCTGGTATGGAATGAGATGCCTGAGAGACTGGCCTAAAAATGCTCCTGGCCCAGGAGTGCTCCCACCTTGAGACCCCTCCACCACATTCCCTTCCCCATTTTTCAGGAGGGGACAGAACAGCAGCCCACCCCTCAGGGCCTGGGCAGCTTGTGTGAGCCTAGTGGGTAGGGATGCCAGGCACAGATGAGGCTGCTGAGGCTTCAGTCCCCGTTCCCATTGGGGCCCTGATAAGAGGACCATGGGGAGCTGGTGGGAGCCCCAGGCAAGGTGGACTAGTGGGTGGCCATGAAAGTGGGCTCTATTCTGCTCCCTTGGGACACAGGGAGTACAAATATTTGGCCTTGTCCATCTGTCTGTCTCTGGGCCATGGAACCCAGTGGCCCAGGCCTGAGGTCCCAGAACCATCCCTGACCCGTGTTTTGTCCCAGCAGGAAGTTGTTTCCCCACAGGGAGGCTGGCCAGCATCCTTGAGGGGCAGTGATGGGTTCCAGGCCCTGTGCAGTGTCCCCCTGAGAGGACTCACCATTTGGGTTGTGACTGTCCTGGAGGCCTGACCCTGAGGGTTCACTGGCCCTCCATGGGACTTAATGGGCCCTTATTGGCTCTAACCTACCTGCTACTTGGGACCCCCAGTCTGGGCTCTGAATCAGCAGATCAAGAGAGGGGCTTTGGGGGGTCCTGAACTGGTGGGAAGGGTGCTGCCTCGGCATCCCCGGTGCCAGAGACCCCAGCTGCACTCACTGCCTCCGGCCCTGCCCTGCCCGCTGGTCCCGATGGTGAAAGAGCAGGAAGTGAAGGTGAGCAAAGCTGAGGGGACGACGAGGCCACTAGAGCCTGTCCCCACCTCCCACCCCCTCTCCAGCCCCAGGGGCTCCACCCCTGCCATTCCCGTGACCGTGGCTGCTGTTCTCAAGGGCTGGATGCACACAGTGGAAGGAGCACCTGCCCAGCACGCACGGGGCCTGGGCTCCCTCCCCAGCACTCAAGGCGTACTCAAGAGTCTTCTGTGACCATCAGATGCGGAGGAGACAGGGCGGGGGCGGCAGAGTCCCCCAAAATTTTAAGTAAGTAAGAGGCAGTGTCCTGAATCACAGAGGAGTTGCTGGGTAGAATATTCCAGACCCTGAAAGTCAGGGGGCTGAGTGATCAGTGCTCCCAGGTGGGGTGGTGTACAGAGTTTGAGAGGAGATGGCCCCGCTCAGGGACCCCAGGCAGCTTTGAAGCTGGGCCCCTCAAGGAGCAAGGAAATCTCTGCCCGCCTCCCACCCACCAGGCTCCTTCCCAGCAGAGGGAGTGGCTCTGCCTATTCTGGGAGACTCCAGTGTCCCTGCTGAGGTTGCCTCTAGGTTTCTGACAAACCCTGCTGGGTCTGCTCCTCTCCCCGAGCTGCCTCAGGCCTGTCTGGTCCCCTGGCCTGGTCTCTGTATCTCAGTCCTCATCTCATGTTGGACTTTGTCTTTGCTGACACCTGGGGATGGCCATCTCATCCTTCCTCCCCGACTGCCTCCCGCCATCTGTCCTGGTCCTCTCTGGAGGTCAGGGATGGAGTAAAGAGGCTGGTTGAGGGAGGCCTCAAGAGTGTCCCAAGACACGTGCCTGATGCTGGGCTGAGTGGAGCTGGAGCAGGGACAAGCTGGGGTGCTGGCAGCGTCCTGCCAGGTGGGAGGGCTCCCGAAGTCTGAGTGGGACCCTCGTCAGAGTCCAGCAGGGCTGTGGGAAGGGGTCAGATTAACAGGCACATCCCCACATGCTGGCTCTGAGGCTCAGCACTGGGGGATGGAGTGAGGCCCACGGTGTGGACCTCCTGTTCGGGTTAGGACTGACTCCAAGGCTCCAGGGTGGACGGAACACTGGAGGCTCCAGGTACCACCCACTCCCTTCCCACTGAGCCCCATTCCCCTGGCCAAGGAGGGGACTCAAGGGCTCACATGGCTCAGAGCTGGGGGCAGTTACTGGGCCCTGTGGCTTTGGGAGTGGTCTGTTCTACGTGGGTGGCACGGTGCCCACAGAGTGCCAGGCCCTGGTCCATCTCCCTTCAGCCCCACTGCTGGTGTCCACTGTGACCCCTGAGCTGCTCCCGCAGGGCCACCCCCACCATCTCCCCCCAGTCTCTCTCCAGGAAGCACAGACATCCCTGGTGGGCCCTCAACTAGCCATACAAAAGCTTTGGGGCCAAGACCTTTCTGGGAAAGGCCAGGCCTGGGCCTCCCAAGTCCTGCTGTGGGCCTGCTTAGGAACAGCAAGAGCTTGAACACTGTCCACACCTGAGTTTTCTATGGCCAGAAGCCAGAACTCTGGTTGTTCCCAGGGCCCCACCCAGGTCTAATCCACCCCTGAAGGCAGTGAGATGCTTCCTGGTGCTTCTTGCATCTCAGGAATCCAGTCTGACCCCCTGGTCTGGTTTCTAGGAGCTCATGGACAGTGTTCAGCCCCGGAAGAGACTGGGGCAGAGGTAGACCCTCTGACCTGTCTGAAGGGCAGTACAGGACGAAGCAGGCTTCCCAGAGGCAGGGCCATGCCTGAGGAGCCTCTAGGCAAGAGGCCCTAGGAGGCCCAGTCATGGCCCCGGGAACTCCTGGTGTCCATGGAGGGGCCCTCTTTGGTCACTGCAGGTCCAGTGGCACCCTGCTCCCAGACAGCCCAGGATGGGCATGACTGTTCCATGTGAGGTGCTTGCCCCCCAGGGACCTGGCTGCAGTCTTCCATTTCCAGAAGTGGCTTTCTAGTCCCCTGCTCATCTCTCACCCTTGGGCTCACCAGGGGCCTCTAGGACCTCCGGGTTCCTGCCCCTTCCACCCGATGGGGACCCCACCTATGGGGACTCTGAAAGGTAGCCCCTCCTAAACCTTCAATATGCACACTGGACGTCCCCCCTCCAGGAAGGCCCTGGAGCCCATTGGACAGGGCAGCAGGCCCTGCTGCTCGAGAGCTGGACCTCCCCCGCTGGTGCTGGTCCTCAGGTACTTGGCTCAGGCTGCCCCCTAGAGGGGTGCTGCTGCCTTTTGCTCTACAGCCTGGATGTCTGTGCAGGTAAAAGGGCCCACAGGAACCAGGGGCACAGGGGACTGGAGGACACAGCTCCGAGCAAGGTCAGCAGAGGGCCTTCCATCCTGCGGGGATGGTAGGTGGCTGCCGGGCTTTCCTGCAGCTGGTCAGGGACGTCTGCCTGGCATGGCCCTGGTACTGGACAAGACATCTCTTCCTCTCAACTCTGCCCCTCTCCAGCCTGAAGCCCTGCCAGGTAGCCCAAGAAAGGGGCTCATTTCTTGCCAGCTGCCTGTGCTGGGAGATGAGCTGGGATCAAAGGAGCCGGCTCAGCACTAAACTAAGAAAACGGTGAAGAAATCACGCAACACACGGACGTGAGTTTCTCCGATTGAGGGTGGGACTGCCCTGTGACCTTAAGGGTCAGCTTCCACGCTGGACAGCACTGGGAAGAGAGTGTGAACTCAGAATCTCTTTATTTTTATAGTGGGGACACACAAAGGATGGAATGTTCTTCACCAAATAAGGCAGGTGGTAAGGTTTCCAAAGTGGAGTCTTGCTCGGTGATGTCTTGTGGTCAGCAGATTGGTTGCCATCTTGGCAAGTCACACCCATCTCAGGTGCTGTGCGGGATCACAGGCGGAGTGAGAGGAAAGGCACACTTATGTGGCACAGCCCAATCAGCGAGCAACGCCAGACCTGTCCCTTCATATCACTCCAATGCGCATAGCTCTCACACACAGCCCACAGATGGCTCGCGACATGTCCATCACAGCCACTCCTGGATAGCCCTCTGACTTGCTGCTCTCTGGGCCCTTGGCTGGGCCTCTGCTGGGCACCATGCAAGGTGGCTTGGGTAAGAGTACAGGGCTGGTTCTCCCCTGTGCCCTGGGAGCTCATGCCAGGCCAGGAGAATGCCCATCCCAGGGAATAAGGTCATAGATGCCAGAGGGTTAGGAGACCAGGTATCCAAGATGTTGTCCCTGGCTGCAGAATCGTGGCACTTGGGCTTCTGCCTGGAGTCTCCTTAGGTACCCCAAGGGGATGGCAGCCCTTCTGCCCGCTCCTTATCCCAGAGGTGGAGAAAGGTCGGAGGCCCCAGCTCAGGCTGTTCCTTGGCCCCAAGGTTCTATTTCAGACGGGGGCAGTGTCGGTGGCTGAGCCTCCACTCTGGGGCAGGGGGGAAAAGCAAGGCGGTGCTAGGCAGTGAGGACCAGGGTGGTTTCCCCAGGGACACCTGTCCACCTAAGGACGAGAAGCCCACCTGGGCCGGGGGGGTGAGGGCAGGGAGGGTGGGGAGCATGCGGTGTGGGGTGCCAAACTGTTGGGTGCGGCCGTCTCTCTGTAGCCTGATTCTCAGAAGGTTGGGTCAGAGGTCTGGAAGGAAGGGTGCATCTCTAGGGACAGGACTTGGTGGCCCAGACCTTGGGCTGGAGGGAAGACCACCCCCTGCTCCCTTCCCATGACTCTCAGTTACCTCTCAGGAATGGGACCCCCTTCCTTTGATGGCAGGTAGGCTAGAGGTCACAGGACACAGGCCTGGGGGCCTCCCTCTGAGTCCAGAGTCCTTCAGGCCTTGGTTGGGTACTGGCCTCCCCCAGGGTCACTGCAGCCCCAAGTGCCTCTCCCGAGGAGCTCAGTGTGGCTCTGCCAGGACTGGAGAGGCTTGTGGCTCCCTGGTTTCTATTTACATCCCTGGGTCTCCCTCCTGTCCTGAGCCACCTCCTCCTGACCCTGCTGGGTCACCTGTTCCACGACACCTCCTCCCATGATGCTGAGTTTTCTAGATTCAGGCAACTTCGCCCGCTTCCTGCAGCCCCTGTCTCGGCCCACCTCTTCCGCACCTCCATAGGTCCCCTGACTTTGGCTTTCCCTCAAGAACATTCTTTCCTAACTGTGAATTTCCTAATGTCACCATCTTCTGCAATCTGGATAGGCTGAGAATTTCCCAAATTATCAAATTACTACAACATATTTCCACATACTTGTTGGCTTAGAACCACACACTCAGCTGGGTCCGGTGGTGCATGTCTGAGTAGCTATAATCCTGGCTACTTGGGAGGCTGAGGCAGGAGGATGGCAAGTTCAAGGCCAGCCTGGCAACTTCATGAGACCCTGTCTCAAAATTTAAAAAAAGGAAAAAAAAATTTTAAAAAAGGGCTGGGTATGTGGCTCAGTGGTGGAGCGCTTGCCTAACACGTGTCAGGCCCTGCGTTCAATCCCAAGCACTGCAACAAAGCAAAGCCCACACTTGTTGGCTTGAAACCACACATTCCAAAGGCCAGCAGTGGGAAATCAGATCACTGAGTTGGAATCAAGGTGTTGGCAGAGCCTGGCTCTGGCTTCCCGGAGGCCCCATGGGTTGTGCCAGCCTCCTCCAGCCTCTGGCCTTGTGCCCACCCCCCCAATCTCTGCTTCCGCTTCACAGGGTGACTCCTCTGGGTCTCATCTCTCTCTGCCTGTCTCAGGAAGGACACTTGAGAGGACATTTAGGGTCCAGCTGGATAATCCAGGATAATCTGGATCTCAAATCCTTAACTTATTTAAAAGGCAGAAAGATAAGAGGGAAAGAAGGAAGGAAAGATAAGAGAGAAGGGAGAAAGGGGCCAGGCCCATGGTAGTGTAGGACACTGTCTTCTAGCATTGAAACTTCTAGCATTCTCAGTGAGCGTGAGAATCACTTACAGAAGACACTCCACGTGGCTCTATGGACCAGGAATGAGGACGCTGTCATTCTTTAGGAATGGAACGTTTCTGGACAAAGAGAACACAATAGCTTGTTTTGATAACTTTTGAAGAGAATAATGCACATATTCAACTTATTCACCTTAAAAACATCAGGCATTAAGATATTAACCATTTTGGGCTGGGGTTGTGGCTCAGTAGTATAGCACTTGCCTAGCACATGCGAGGCCCTGGGTTCGATCCTCAGCACCACATTAAAAAAAAAAAATGTATCGTGTCCATCTACAACTAAAAAATAAATATATTTTTTAAAAAAGATATTAACCATTTTGGAATTTAAGAAATAATAATAAAGAAGGTTCTTAATTACATCTGTAAAGACATTCCCCACCCCCCACCCCCCTGCAAATAGTCACAAATACAGGTTCCAGAAGTAAGGATGAGGCCCTGGGTTCCATCCCCAGCACCACAAAAAGTTTGAAAATATATTTTTTTAAATTGCAGTTTGCAGGAGTTAAGACATGGAGATCTTGTGTGGGTGTTGGCAGTGGTATTCAGCTGCCATAGCGCCCTTGACCCACACTGACCTCTTTCCCCCACACTCCAGGCCCCCCTGGCCTGGACCACACCCTCCTAGGCCTGTGGTGGAAGCTCTCAGGTTCATCTCACAGGGGAAGGAGGTGGCGTGGCCTTGTGGGGCGCTGCCCCGGCTGCTCAGAGAGCCCCTCCCTTGGCAGAGGAGCTTCAGGGTCAGTGTGCGCTCCTGGTGCCCAGGAGGTGCTGGAGGTGGGCATCCCCTCCTCCCGCCGCTGCCTCCTCCTCTTCCTGCTCCCCTCAGCCCCCTTCCTGTGCAGTTCAGAGGCTGCACGAGCTCCAGAATGCACCCCAAGTCCCACTCCACACACAGCATGCTGCCTCCACTTGAGCGGGTCTTGCCTGTTATTCCAGGGCTTTGGGGGGTCCTTCCTGTCCTGACCACAGCTGCTCCCCAAACTTCTGTCCAGCCAGAGCCATTTTGAAGATCCCCTGGAGAGGGGCTCCCTTGGAGCTGTGGCGGGGGTCAGACTATTGCCAGGAGAAGACCAAAGGCAAGAGAAGGGCTAAAGGTGGGAGGAAGCGACTGCCCCGGGGTGGGGCGCTGCTCAGGGCAGGGGGCGCAGCCCACCTTCCTGTGGCCTGAACAGCAGTCTGCACCTTGAAGGGGCCTCCCTCCCAGGCAACCTCAGACAACCCGACCCAGTCAAAAACAGACCTCCACACCCTGCTGGGCTCACAGTCCACAGGGACCTTTGTAGACTTCAATGCGTGTTTAGAATAAGAAAGGCTGTGGCCCAGCCTATAATCCCAGCGATTTGGAGGCTGAGGCAGAAGGATCCCAAATTCAAAGCCAGCCTCTACAACTTAGGTGTCTCTAAATAAAGTATAAAAAAGGTCTGGGTCCGTGGGTCCGTGGTAAAATGCCCGTGGGTTCAATCCCTAGAACCAAAAAAAAAAAAAAAAAAAAAAGTGAATGACTGAATATGGGCAAAGGTCCCAGTATGAATTTAGAAAAGGGCAGGGGTGCAGCTGAGTGGAGGAGCATGGGCTTAGCATGTACAAGACCCTGAGTTCTATCCCAGCACCAAAAATGAACAATAAATTCATTTTAGTAAAATAAACATTTTAAAAAGTCTCATTTTCTGTCTAATCAATATAATATTATTAAGATATTCTACATTATTTTTATGTTGAATATTTGAAATGATATGTTTATTTTACATAGGCAGTGCATCTGAATTTTCAGAAAGCATAATTTTCTTGTGGGGGACTGTGCTAGGGATCTAACCCAGGGCCTCCTGTATGCTAACCACCGAACCATATCCTGAGTCCTTTACACTTTATTTTGAGACAGAGTCTCTCTAAGGACCCAAGCTGGCCTCAAAAATGTGATCCTCCTGCCTCAGCCTCCCAAGTCACTGGTTTTCTAGTTTTTACATAATGCCCTTTTTCTGTTCCAAGATCCCATCAAGTATACTATATTAGATTTAGTCATTGTATTAGGCTAATTGTTTTACTGTTGTAGGGACAAACAAAGCAAGACACTGAAGATAGCAAGAAACTATTTTATTTGGCTGCAGCCAGGTTCAGAGGGCACAGCTTTTGCTGTAATCCATCAATCCCCTGAACCCCGAGTTCAGGGAGTTGCAGAGTTTTATACCCAGCATATAAGGGGAGAGGCTCAGAAGTTCACAGTCTGCAGAAGTTCACATATTTTAAGCAGCTTTTTCTTTCACTGTTTTGGGCAACAAGGACAACACCTGAGAAGGGAGGAGCTTCTTCTCCCCTTTCTTTCCTCCCCCTGCCATCTGTTACCATGGAGCCCAACTGTAACTTATCTTTTCTTTTAATATTTATTTTTTAGGTTTGGGTGGACACAACACCTTTATTTATTTAATTTTTTTTACAGAGAGAGAGAGAGAGAGAGAGAGAGAGAGTTTCAACATTTATTTTTTAGTTATTGGCAGACACAACATCTTTGTTTGTAGGTGGTGCTGAGGATCAAACCCGGGCCGCACGCATGCCAGGCGAGTGCGCTACCGCTTGAGCCACATCCCCAGCCCATAACTTACCTTAAAAATGTAGACATCTCTGTGAAGCCCAGCTCAAGGCCAGAGGCCTTGTTTACACATTTCTACAAACTACTGCATTGTGAAAAACTAGTAAGAGGGTGTCCAGCACCTGGAGTTCTGGTGTCTTCCTGGCCAGTGGCCAAGTAAAACAGGGCAACACGAAAACAGGAAGTTTATCTACATTGAACTCTTTGCAGAGACTCTCTTGCTGACAGTCCTAAAATCAGCCATGGTGAAGATTTCTGGAGAGGCCCAGTTAAAATTTTCCTTTGGAGAAAGAGGGTGCCACTACATTACTACAATTAAATACCAGAGGGAGGTTACTTTATAAAGAAAACAAGTTTATGTTGGCTCATGGTTCTGAAGGAACAAGGTTGAGGGGTCACATTTGGTGGTGGCCTTCCTGCTGGTAGAATCCCAAAATAGTGTGTCACATGGCAAGAAACAGGGAGCACTATCGGCTTGCCTTGCATGCACAAGGCCCTGGGTTCGATCCCCAGCAACAAAAAATAAAATAAAATAAAAAATAAAACCACTATTGGGGTGGCCAGCACCGCCAGGGTAGGTTCCTGCTCAGGAGGTGTGAGCTGCCTGGGAAATAAAAAGTCTGAAATAATCAGAAATAAAGACAGAGTCAGAAATTAGATAGGAAAAGGGGAGCACCTGATGGGTCTTCCAGTCCCGACGGGAGCTGGAACTGAACAGCTGAAGACGGCCTGATTCTTTATTGAAGGGGAGTCCATCAAAGGCAGGGAGAAGGCTTCAGCGGGAAGAGTCTTGGTTTGCGCTTGCTCCTGAGTGCAGCAAGAGTCTTGCAGCAAACAGGTGGATTGGCATTTTGGCAAGCCACACCCATCTCCGAGAGGCTGGTGGCTCCAGCGGGGTCACCCATCTCTGGTGCTGTGCTGAACTTGTGGGGCTGGGCGGGCCGCCGCGTGAACCAGGCGTTCTCAAACCAGCAGGGTCGCGGCAGCAGGCTTTCCTGCCTAATGGTCCACATGGCTTTAGCTCATGCACAGCTCGCAGATGGCCGCTGGCAGCCACCTGGATTCAATTAGGACAGCCACCCTGATGACCTCAAATCCTAATCACCGCCCAAGGCCCCTCTAAATATCATAGTCAGATTAAGTTTCCACCTTCTGCCATCTCAGGATGGGGATTTGACTTCAGCTCATGAGCATCCGAGGGACATAAACCGCAGCAGTACTCTGTCTCTTCAGGGTTCTGGGCTATGAGGCTCCTCAGACTTTCTGGGTTTTGATCTTGACAATGTGAGATCTGTCTTGGTGGTGGAGTGTTTGTTCTCACAATTAGACTGGGGTTAGAGGCTTTAGGGAGGAAGGTCAGAAAAACAAAAAGCCATTTTTGCATCATATGGTATCAAGGGTAGTACCAATAAGGTGACCTCATGGTTAATGTTGAATTGGTCAAGGTCAAGGTTTTTGCCAGGTTTCTCTACTGGGAAGTTATTTTTTTCCCCTTCCTATACTATGCTCTTCAGAAGGAACACAGCCCACAGCTAAAGTGTGGGGTGTGGGGGGGTTTGCTCCACCACCTCAGGGGCACAGTATTACATAAATTATTTGGAATTCTTCTGCAGGTGAGATTTGTCTCTCCTCCCTTATATATTTCCCATATCAGGGATTGGACCTAGGGGTGCTCTATACCACTGGCCTTCTAGTTTGAGACAGCTTCACTAAGGTGCCAAGGCTGGCCTCAAACTTGTGATCCTCCTGGCTCAGCCTCCTGAGTACCTGGACAGACACATACGTACCACTGTGCCCGACTCGATCATTTATTTATTTATGTATTTATTTATTTATTGTAGTGCTGGGGATTGAACTCTGGGCCTTATGCATGCAAGGCAAGCACTCTACCAACTGAGCTATATTCCCAGCCCTCAATCATTTATTTATATCAATATTAACTCATGTCCTGCCCACATCCCACGCAGGCGGTAGGGTCAGAGTTCCTCTGCATGGAGTGAACTGGCTGTGAAATAAAGCTAAGAAAGGAAGGTGGCGGAAATCCACACTACACAGAAAGTACCTTTGAACAGCGAGGGCCACCGGCTCTACCACCCTTAGGGGTCCAGCTTCCACACTGGAAAGAGAGAGAGAGAGAGACCGAGTCGGTTTATTTACACAAGGGAGTTTCAAAGGTGTTCTTCAGAGTGTTCTTCACCAGTAAGGCAGGATCTGGGCTGTCCAAACCCAGAGGGTTACGCCCAATTCCAGAGCTAGGAGAGCTGTGTGATAGATAGAGACATCACGCCTCGGGCAGTCTACCCTCGGGAATGCCAGGATTGTTCCCAAGGGGAGACCTAAGTCCCCCGTAGCTCGGCACAGAGTAAAAGACTATTCAAGTAGCTTCATGGGTGGCGACCACTCGCATGGATGTTTATTTATTCTATGGATTATAATCCAATACAACCTCATTTCTACTTTGTATTTTCTATTTATTTTGTTGCTCAAATTGTCCCAACTTTGGCCATTGGGAGCTCCTGAGTCCTTTTGGTATACCCTTTAAGTGTAGTTTTTGAGCAATTTGGGAAGATTAGATATAAATAAATGCCACAATGATGGGGTTTTAACTCAGTAGCAAAGCACTTGCCTAGCAGGCAA